TGCCAGCCCCCCGCACTGCCGGGGACTCTCCTTACAGGTCTGAAACGTACACGTCACGCTTGGGTGTCAGGGTCTGGGAGCGCGTTGCGGGAAGCGCGGACCATCGCGATGGCGAGCGCGGGCCGCAGGGCGCCTGGGCCGCGTGGTGGTCACTGCGGATGCGTCCGGACCCATGCCCAGCCTCCCCGGGGCTCCTCACGGAAGCCATCACACCGGCAGAGCGACAGACACAAAACGGACCACTGTAAGAAATCAGTGGTCACTGGATCCCTTCTGAAGTTGACACCCAATAATGGCCTCTGACACATTCAAACACAACACAGAAGTTCGTGTATTCCTCGAAAACCCTTCACAGTTTAGAGGCTTTGGTAATGGTCTGACCAGAGGAGGCAGATGGGAACACGATGCTCTGGCAGATTGCGACTCAATTTAAGCGATCGTTGGGCCCCCACAGCCAAGCCCGGGGGCAGGAGGGAGGGACAAGGCGGGGCGCCCGCTTTCAAAAACTACAGAACAGAACGGGGTCTGCGAAGAAACGCTTACGCTCATGGTGTCCCGTGAGGGGCAACATCCTGCACACGCACGTATTCATCCAAGCTAAACGCACACACGAAAACATTCATAAATACGAAGGAGTCCGATCAGGGATTTTCACAGATACCTTCTCGACCCTCGCAGCTGCCTGGGGAAAGGAGGTGTCACCGCTACGGGTCGGAACGCCGGAGCCCACGGAAGTGAAACGACTTGCCCAGGATCACGCAGCTCAAACGAGGGAGTCGTGCCGTCGGTCAGGGCTTCCGTCTCAAAGCCCACGCACCTGCCACCTGAGCAGACGTGCTGTCCATCACCAGGAAGGGGCGGGCTCATCTCAAAGGCAGTCGACAGCTACTAGATCAAGATGTCGCCTTTACCAGTGGCTAAGCTGCAACAGCCTCCTAGCCCAGGTGGCAGAATGCCCTTCCCCAGCTCTGCACTCAGACCTGCCTTCTGCCACATCTAAGGGGATTTGTCATGAAGGTCTCGTCTACCGGGATAATTTGTGTCAGCTGCTACTTTCTAAGGGCACAAGTCAATCCCATTAACTCGAGCTCCTCGGAGATTGCCTACAGGAGGATGAAAGACCG